TGCATACCTATAATTCCAGCTACTCAGGAGGCTGAGGCAGGAGAATCACTTGAACCCGGGGAGAGGCAGGGTGGAGGTTGCAGTCAGTCGAGATTGCACCACTGCACTCCAGCCTGGGCGACAGAGTGAGATTCTGTCTCAAAGAAAACAAACAAACAAAAAATTTTTTTAAAATAAAATGATTTCTGCCCAAAAGGGAACGATCATGGAAATTTAAAGCTAACTCCACTTGGCTGCTTTTAAATCACAAGAGATAATCTCCCATACTTTTTTTTTTTTTCAGTGAAGAAAAGAATATCCAAATCTCCTTTGGATAGCAGATAAATTAAAATTATAAAACCTGAACTGCAGCTTTTACCAGTGGCCAGTTGCCATCAGGAAAGAAAAGTATCCACTGAATAATGAGGGAGAAAAAACCTACACAATTTTGAGTGTGTGATCACTAAACAGGTTTCGCACGTGACCAGCAAAACTAGGTCATGAGCTGTGAGCTGCAAAACAGCCTGCCCCACCTTGAGGCTGGCGTCTGTCACTGGGAGCAATGGAGCTCCCTTCTTACAAGTCAGCAGAGGAGTTGGCTGGCACGTTTCAAAAGGAGTGAGGTGATTCTTGGTGCAGTGCAGCCAGTGCAGCTTTGTTTTCAGTGGGTCAAACCACAAAGCAGAAATGATGCCATGACACAGGGAGGTGGGAGCATGAGGAGACTCTGAATCTCCTTGTGCTCCTGATCTCCCATCTCTGGATTCAGGCTGACTGCAGTTCTAGTCCCGCCACTGCTACTTACAAACTATCAGTATATTCGCACAACATTGTCACCCTGTCTGAGCCTCAGTTCCCACTTCAGTGAAGTGAGCAGTAACAGTACCCTTCCCTCAACTGGGCTTCATCACTTTCACGCCTTTTTTTTTTTGAGACCCAGTCTCACTCTTCCCCCATGCTGGAGTGCAGTGGCACAATCTCGGCTCACTGCAACCTCTGACTTGAACTCTGCCTCCCAAGTTCAGGTGATTCTCCTGCCTCAGCCTCCCAAGCAGCTGGGATTACAGGTGCCCACCACCACGCCAGGCTCATTTTTGTATTTTTAACAGAGACGGGGTTTCACCATGTTGGTCAGGTTGGTCTCGAACTCCTGACCTCAGGTGATCCATCCACCTTGGCCTCCCAAAGTAGTGGGATTACAGGCATGAGCTACTGTGCCCGGCTGCTTTCACGCCCTTCTGGTTTCCAACTGCAACCCTCTTCATCACAAGTCACTGCCAACCCTTGCCCCCTCTTTTCTCAGAATATCCTCTAGGGGTACGTGTGGGAGTGTGGGTGTGTATTTGTGTGTGTGTTTTGTTGTTGTTGTTTACCTAATCCTCTTACCACCCTCCAACTCTGTCTTCAGAGCCGGAGGCTCCCCACAGAAACCACAAAGGATCATTTTAAAGGGAAGTAAAAGTTTTTACAAGGATTAGGTGAGATAGTTAAGGTAAACAAATTTAAATAGAACAGTGAAGGTAAATGCATTCAATATGATTTAGGGAAGGTAAGGCATTCTTCAATAAACATGATTTTTGCTACACGTCCATTTGCAACCCTAGCTCAGGGTTTTTTTTTTTTTTTGGAGATGGAATCTTGCTCTGTCGCACAGGCTGGAGTGCAATGGCGCGATCTCTGCTCACTGCAACCTCCGCCTCCCAGGTTCAAGCGATTCTCCTGCCTCAGCCTCCCGAGTAGCTGGGACTACAGGCACCCACCACCACGCCCGGCTAATTTTTCTTTCTTTTTTTTTTTTTTTTTCAGTAGAGACGAGGTTTCACCATGTTAGCCAGGATGATCTCAATCTGACCTCGTGTTCCATCTGTCTCAGCCTCCCAAAGTGCTGGGATTACAGGTGTGAGCCACCATGCCCGGCCTTAAGTTCAGTCTTGAAGGATGCTGAGTTTATCCCCCCAGATTTTGGGGCTGAATCTTCCTTAAAACGATCTGAGCCCAGGCTGACTGCGGTGGCTCATGCCTGTAATCCCAGCACTTTAGGAGGCCTAGGTGGGCAGATCATTTGAGGTCAGGAGTTTGAGACCAGCCTGGGCAACGTGGTGAAACCCCATCTCTACTAAAAATACAACAACAACAACAACAAAATTAGCCGGGAATGGTGTGCATACCTATAATTCCAGCTACTCAGGAGGCTGAGGCAGGAGAATCACTTGAACCCGGGGAGAGGCAGGGTGGAGGTTGCAGTCAGTCGAGATTGCACCACTGCACTCCAGCCTGGGCGACAGAGTGAGATTCTGTCTCAAAGAAAACAAACAAACAAAAAATTTTTTTAAAATAAAATGATTTCTGCCCAAAAGGGAACGATCATGGAAATTTAAAGCTAACTCCACTTGGCTGCTTTTAAATCACAAGAGATAATCTCCCATACTTTTTTTTTTTTTCAGTGAAGAAAAGAATATCCAAATCTCCTTTGGATAGCAGATAAATTAAAATTATAAAACCTGAACTGCAGCTTTTACCAGTGGCCAGTTGCCATCAGGAAAGAAAAGTATCCACTGAATAATGAGGGAGAAAAAACCTACACAATTTTGAGTGTGTGATCACTAAACAGGTTTCGCACGTGACCAGCAAAACTAGGTCATGAGCTGTGAGCTGCAAAACAGCCTGCCCCACCTTGAGGCTGGCGTCTGTCACTGGGAGCAATGGAGCTCCCTTCTTACAAGTCAGCAGAGGAGTTGGCTGGCACGTTTCAAAAGGAGTGAGGTGATTCTTGGTGCAGTGCAGCCAGTGCAGCTTTGTTTTCAGTGGGTCAAACCACAAAGCAGAAATGATGCCATGACACAGGGAGGTGGGAGCATGAGGAGACTCTGAATCTCCTTGTGCTCCTGATCTCCCATCTCTGGATTCAGGCTGACTGCAGTTCTAGTCCCGCCACTGCTACTTACAAACTATCAGTATATTCGCACAACATTGTCACCCTGTCTGAGCCTCAGTTCCCACTTCAGTGAAGTGAGCAGTAACAGTACCCTTCCCTCAACTGGGCTTCATCACTTTCACGCCTTTTTTTTTTTGAGACCCAGTCTCACTCTTCCCCCATGCTGGAGTGCAGTGGCACAATCTCGGCTCACTGCAACCTCTGACTTGAACTCTGCCTCCCAAGTTCAGGTGATTCTCCTGCCTCAGCCTCCCAAGCAGCTGGGATTACAGGTGCCCACCACCACGCCAGGCTCATTTTTGTATTTTTAACAGAGACGGGGTTTCACCATGTTGGTCAGGTTGGTCTCGAACTCCTGACCTCAGGTGATCCATCCACCTTGGCCTCCCAAAGTAGTGGGATTACAGGCATGAGCTACTGTGCCCGGCTGCTTTCACGCCCTTCTGGTTTCCAACTGCAACCCTCTTCATCACAAGTCACTGCCAACCCTTGCCCCCTCTTTTCTCAGAATATCCTCTAGGGGTACGTGTGGGAGTGTGGGTGTGTATTTGTGTGTGTGTTTTGTTGTTGTTGTTTACCTAATCCTCTTACCACCCTCCAACTCTGTCTTCAGAGCCGGAGGCTCCCCACAGAAACCACAAAGGATCATTTTAAAGGGAAGTAAAAGTTTTTACAAGGATTAGGTGAGATAGTTAAGGTAAACAAATTTAAATAGAACAGTGAAGGTAAATGCATTCAATATGATTTAGGGAAGGTAAGGCATTCTTCAATAAACATGATTTTTGCTACACGTCCATTTGCAACCCTAGCTCAGGGTTTTTTTTTTTTTTTGGAGATGGAATCTTGCTCTGTCGCACAGGCTGGAGTGCAATGGCGCGATCTCTGCTCACTGCAACCTCCGCCTCCCAGGTTCAAGTGATTCTCTTGCCTCTACCTCCCGAATAGCTGGCACTACAGGCAAGCGCAACTATTTCTGGCTATTTTTTTGTATTTTTAGTAGAGATGGAGTTTCAACAGGTAGGTCAGGCTGGTCTTGAATACCTGGCTTCAGGTGATCTGCCTGCCTTGGCCTCCCAAAGTGCTGGGATTACAGGTGTGAGCCACCGTGCCTGGCCTAGCTCAGGTTTTGAGTTAAGTAAGTAAAAGTTAACTGAGGCATAGTCCAATATACCTCATGTGGTTAAAAATTGTCAATGATGGTGAAACCCAACAGAGAAATTAGGGGCTTCTAACTATTTCTGCCAAGTCTTGGTTCTGGACTGATCTTGAAAAGCTTCTTCTGGCATAAATAATATAATGTGCCTTTCCTTCAACTGGGGCTTTATCACCTCTATGCGCTTCCGGTCCCCAACCTCAACCCTCTTCATCACAAGTCACTGCCAACCCTTGCCCCCTGATATGGTTAGGCCTTGTGTTCCCACCTGAATCTCAACCCGAATTGTAATCCCCAGGTGTTGAGAGGGACACCTGGTGGGAGGTGATTGGATCACATGGGCAGTTTCCCCCATGCTGTTCTTGTGATAGTGAGTGAGTTCTCAAGACACTTGATGGTTTTATAAGTGTCTGGCATTTCCCCTGCCTGTGCTTCTCTCTCTGGCCACCATGTGGAAAAGGTCCTTGCTTCCCCTTTGCCTTCTGCCATGATTGTAAGTTTCCTGAGGCCACGCGGAACTGTGAGTCGATTAAATCTCTTTTCTTTATAAATTACACAGTCTTGGGTAGTATCTTTACAGTAGCATGAAAACACAAAAATGCAGCCCCTCTTTTCTTAGAATATCCTCTAGGGTGTGCGTGTGTGTGAGGGGGGATTGGAGGAGTTTGGGCTTTTTCTTCTTCTTCATCTCGCTACCCTCCAACTCTATCTTCAGACCCTGAGGCTCCCCACAGAAACCACAAAGGATCATTTCGCTTCCCTTTGGAAATGCAGAATCTATTATGTTTTGGGGCACATCCCAAATAGACCCCTCTCCCACTGCCAGTTTCTTCCCTAAATGCTCCTTTTTTTCATTTGTATACACTTCAGGTTTCTCTAGGAAGCAGTGGCCCACAGAGAGCTGAGTTGGTTTCAAGAATCCAGGAGACGTACCTGGCTGCTTTCTGAGTGAGCTCCAGCGGGAAATCAGGACACAGTAATTGCAGCAAACAGTGATATTCTTTCATGGTCAGCAAATCTGAAGTGGAAATGGAGAGGAACACATTAGGTCTCTGCATTTCAAGTCACTGCCCTCTTTTTGTTCATTTCATGAATTTCAGACCTGGTCTTGGTAGAGCTGCTCTTTTAAAAGCAAGTCAGTGTTAAGGGTATGCTAGTCTCTAACCTCCAGGTGTGAGATTTTTAAGATCAATATTTCTACAAAGCTTTTCCTGGGTGGGAAGCATCCAGTTACAACATTTTGGCCAAAGGAGCTTCACTGGCATGAAAGTTGGTCGAGTGAAGAGAGCAAACAAGAGAGGCACCTTCATCAGCCTTCTTTGGGTTTCCCTGTATATAAAAATCTGGAAGAACAAGTCATTTCAAAGTCAGTTAAATCTGCTGAAATTCTCTGGCATGGTAACATTTCCCACCACATGCCCAAAGACCATCCACAAAATATCTGGAAGCAGTACTAAGGCAAACAGTCTTGCTGTGTATGGAGGAGAAGAGTATAGCATAGAAACCCACAGACCTCATTATTCTGTCATCCAGTACTGCAGCAGGCTGGCTTCTTTTGAATGCCTGAACACAAATCTGGTCATCCTATTATAGGAAACCAAGACAAAGGTCCAAGATATACAGTCAAGGTAACCAAATGATTCCTGATATACAGAAGCAGTGCTTTGGGAGAGGTGAGCCAGGATGAGGCTCTGTGGTCCAGCAGAGAACCTAGAGAGGCGAATCTCAGAGAGATTTATAGGATTCCAAGGGAGAAGAAATACACTGATGCTTAAGTTATTTTGTTGCTGCATGTACTGAAGGCAAAAGATTTTAGATCAGCCAAGGAGTAAGAATGTGCAAGTATTATCATATACCAAAGCATTTCGAATATGGAAGGGCCCGGTGATGCTAAAGTGAGAGCAATCCACCCCGAAGCCTGCCTAACTGGGAGGAGGATGAGTGAGAGGAGGGAATCCAGAGGGCATGGCTACATTTGGGGAATGAAGATGATGATCATAGGCACTTGGTTTCTTTGGATCTAAGTTAGCCCAAGCCACAGGAATCCAGATCTTCTGCCCCTGTTAGTTCGGTTGATGCTTTTCCAAGACAAAAACCCCAAATCTCCAGGGAAAGGCCTGGGTTCCTAGTACTTTTTCATCAAAGCTCAATTCAAGGTGGGGACAGAGAGTTTGACTAACCACACTGCCAAAGTCAGAAACACCAAAGGAACAGACTCAGCGTCAATATAGGTCAAAGGATCAAGATGGTTTTGTGGCACTCTCCTCTTCCCACTCGCCTGACCTCGGGCACAGCCTGGCAGGAGGTCTTGTTCTTCAAGGGAGGGAGTCATCGCCACTCGTGGTCTCAGGCTTGGGGTGAGGAAAAAGGTGAAGGGAAGGGAGAAAAGCCACTGAATCTAATGTGTTCCCACTTTATTCTCACTCCAGAACTCCCCATCTAGAGAGAAGAGAAGAGTGATTTCTGGCAGGGCAGGGAGTAAATAAAGGAAAGTTCTATCTTTGAATCATCAGTGCTTTTCTAGGCTAAACTTTGGCGGATATATCTGATAGCATTCTTAGGGAGAGTCAGAGTGTTTCATAGGAACTTACATTTATCCCCCAAATTACCTACAAAATATCCTTGGGAAGATAACAGAATGAAGGAAAGTGAAAAAATGAGAGAGAGACAGAGAGAGAGAGAGAGAGAGAGAGAGAGAGAGAGAGAGAGTTACTTGATTAAGAAAGACAATGCTAGGAATCAACATTAGCTTCCTGGTTTCTAGACCCTAGGCCCTCTTCAGGTTTTTGATATTATTCTAACTCATGTACTTCAAATACTTGCTTCTGAGGACAGAAGAATGATTTACAAAAATCACTGTGTGCTTCTCTAATACAACAAAAGCTCTTAAAAATATGAAAAACAGAATACATCCTGCTCACCACTTCTGGAACTTGACTCTTCTAAATGTTAAGTGAGGACAGTAGTCAGATTAATGAAAATGTAAGCAAATAAACAACTTTTAATTGTGGAGAGAGTAGTTATATTATTGTTATTATTATTCTTCCACGCAGACTCTGTGTTGGGGATGTGGAGAGAGGAGTTCTAATTCTACTGAAGTAGTGACCAAATAATATCAAGGGCAGATGATTTCTGCGACTTCGAGACACTCCTCAGCTGTTGTACAGTGGGTATTGAGAGAACTATGAGTGGTAAGACTTGTTTCAAAATCAGAATACTGATAAGCATATGAGAGCTTGTTCCCTTTCTGCTCCATAGGCTAGGATTCAAATTTTGGCTCTGCGATTCACCAGGTATGTAATCTTGGGCAAATTGCTTAACATCTCTAAGTCTCAGTTTCTCATCTGTAAAATGCAAGTGATACCGACACTTTTCAGGGTTAAAGTCAATTTTAAGACAGATGATGTCTATAAAGTGCTTAGCAGAATGTCTAGAACTTAGTAACATCAAACAGTGGGAGTTTGTTTTGGTTCTGTTTTTTAAATTCTGGAGGCAAGGAGAAGAGAGGAGGAAGGTATTTGTTGCTGAGGTTTTTTTTCATTTTAAATTTTAATTAATTAATTAATTAATTTTGAGATGGGGGGCCTCACTCTGTTACCCAGGCTGGAGTACAGTGGCACAGCTCACTGCAGTCTTGAACTCCTGAGCTCAAGCGATCCTCCCGCCTCAGCCTCCCAAGTAGCTGGGACTACAAGCATATGCCACCAAGCCCTACTCATTTAAAAAATTTTATAGAGACGGGGTCTCGTGCTGTCACCCAGGCTAGTCACAAACTTCCTACCTCAGCCTCCCAAAGTGCTGGGATTACAGGCATGAGCCTGGGTGTTGCTGAGTTTGGACATTTAAACACCTAAAAGTGTTCTGCCCTGAAAGTTCTCTGTTGGGTTGCCTGAGCCAAATCCGTTTTGAACACTCTCCTGCAGTGGCCACTCACTTCCTATTCCCATGTGCCTGCTCTGTTCCAGGCTCCCCATTATGATGAACAAGCTAGCAGTCCCCCTAGCTTCTGTGGCCTGCATTTGGACACCAGTTCACCCTAATGCTCCTGTCTATTTTGGGTCCTTTAGATCTCAGAACTGTCCAAGATCTCAAAGGCCCTCTCGCAGTCTTTTGTGCTCCAGCAATAACTGTAAAGAGAGTGAGTAGTCATGGAGATCTGTGCTCAGCTCTTGAATTAACTCAGTTAGGCCAGGTGCAGTGGCTCATGCCTGTAATCCCAGCACTTTGGGAGGCCGAGGCAGGTGGATCACCTGAGGTCAGGAGTTTGAGACCAGCCTGGCCAACGTGGCGAAACCCCATCTCTACTAAAAATACAAAAATTATCCCAGTATGGTGGCAGGTGCCTGTAATCCAGCTACTCGGGAGGCAGGAGAATCACTCGAACCTAGGAGGCAGAGGTTGCAGTGAGCTGAGGTCACATCACTGCACTCCAACCTGGGCAACAGAGCAAGACTCCATCCCCCCCCCAAAAATAAATAAAAAATTAAAAAAAATTAACTCACTTAGCCTTCACAGCATACTACCTTATGAAGTAGACTCCATTATTCTCAGTACCATTTCACAGATGAGGATGAGAAAGCTTAGAGGGATGAAATAAGCTGGTGAGCAAGGAGAGGAGGGTCCAGGATAGGGGAGAGGAAGGGGACCTGTCTTCCCTGAGCAAGATCTCAGGCTCGAAGGGAGAGAAGGGAAGCTGATGGCAGGAGGGGCTTAACAATAATACAGTTAACATTTATTGAGCACTTCCTCTCGGGGAGGCACTGATCTAAGGGGTTTACATATGTTACCTCACTAATCTTCACTACTATTACCCTCATTTCACAGAAACAAAAACTCAGATTGTGCACACTTAAGAGGTAGAACTGGAATTCAAACCCAGGCAGTCTGGCTCCAAAGCCCACTCAGCTAACATTGTCAGCACCTTGATCTTATCAGCTATAATGTGTGAGGCTTAAGAGCTTGTTTTCTCCTCCAAACTAACTGCAGGAACTAAATAGCTCCAGATGAACTGGATCAAGGAGACAATTCAAGTGAATTGACATTTTCCACGTAAGAAACCGAGTCTTAAAGGTTCTAATTACTGTTAACAGCGAAGACTGAGGCTTCCGCACAGCAGCCTCAGTTAGGCCAGAGGACATGGGCTGGGGGACACCTGTGCTGGTGGCCACACCATGGTCTCTCATCCCAATCCTCATCTCATGCCCGCCACTCTTCTACCTGGCAGGTGCAGGGGAGTTAAGTATTGTGTATCAATAGACACGTTCTCTAGAAATCTCCCCACAATTAGAAGAGTGTCAGCCAGTAGGTCCTGCAAGTTCAAAGGCAAAGACATAATAAGGTTTTGGTGTAAGATCAAAATCAGAACACTCTCCACAAATTTGTGTGTCTCCTTTCATGGGTGGTCAGACTGCCAAATTTTCTTCTTCTAAGCCTTGCACTAGTCTCACCAATTGTGTGGCTGGCTCCAGACCAGAGGTGTTTTACGCCGTTGATCCTATCTTCTCCAGAGGCAGCACAGCATAGCATTATGGTTAATAGCATGGACTTGGGAGTTAGATTGTTCGGGTCCAAATCCTAGCTTTGCCACTGACTTCAAGTTACTTGACCTTTAAGCTCTCCATGCCTCACTTTCCCCATTTATGAAATGACAGTATGAACACTGCAGAGTTGTTGTGAGTTAATGTAAAGTGTTTAGAACAGTGTCTGACCCATCATAAGGGCCATCTGTTAGTACTTGCTATTATTATTTTAGAAATAAAGAAACTAGGGCTCAGTGAGGTGTAATCATTTTCTCAAGGAAACAGCTAGGAAGAGGGCTGAGATTCAGACCTAGGCCTAGCACAGGCTCTGAAGGTCCTGCAAGTTCCACCCTAGCAGGTGGGATCCAGCTGGTTTGTGAAGGACTTCTGATGATAGGATTATTCACACTAGATGACTAACAGGCTTTATATCTAAGTTAAACATACAGATACCCTTCAGACAGGCCACTTTAAACAGCGCAGGGTAGTTGGGCAGGGC